TTATTCAGTGGGTCTATAGAAAGCTGTCAGTGTATTACTTATGTCACCCTACTCCCACTCTTGAAAAACTGGACAGATACAGACACATCTTATGTACGCTTCTGGGCAAATGTTAACTATAAAACCCATCGGCAGAGCTGGCATTTGGCTTGGAATTTACTGGTCAGACAAGGAGCTCATGTCAACCTGAGGGCTTTATACAGAAGTGAAAGAACAGTGATGCCAGGCCAATGTTTCCTACTTGGGGTATGTTGGCCAGTCTTGTCTGCTTATAAGAGTAAACAGCTCACCTGTTTGGTCCTGCTTACAGATGATGACAGTCATTTGACTAGTATCAGTTGTATCATCTGTTGAATTGCATTCTTCATCAGCTGGCCTACTCAATGCTCTTTCAAGCCATGAATGATTCTATGCAGGAAGTAGTGACAGCTTCACGTGTCAACAGCTTATGGCCAACAGCTGCTGGGAGCCACCCAGAAGTGGTTTACGTGGTAGGAAGTTGGAAATGTGCTAGTTAATCCAGACAATGCTTCAAAATAGTTTGCTTTATACTAATGGCTTTTTCTTTTTTTGAATTTTTAAAGGAAAGTTAGCCAATGTGTAGCTATTCCATGTAACAGTCTCCTATTAGGTCCTGTAAACACTAGTTACTGTGGTAACTAGTACTGAGGGATGGAGGAGGTTGCAAAGGATGAATTAAGATGCCTTGTTCTCAAGGGGCAAGGAGGTAAGACAGATATACAGAGTCTTCAAGAGTGATTCATTTAATGTGCTAAGTACAGAGAGGGAGTAATTATGTCAATTCAGGGACATAGGGGCATCTGCTTAGAGGAGATGACTTTGACATGGATTTTTAAAAATTTTTATTTATTTATTTAATTTATTGTTTTAGTCAGAGTCTCATTCTGTCTCCCAGGTTGGAGTGCTGTGGCACGGTCATAGCCACTGCAGCCTCAACCTGCGGGCCTCAGATGATCCTTCCACCTCAGCCTTCCAAGTAACGAGAACTACAGGCATGTGCTACCACACCCGGCTTATTTATTTATTTATTGTAGAGATGAGGTCTCATGAAGTTGCCCAGGCTTGTCTCGAACCCCTGAGCTCAGGCAGTCCTCTCGCCTTGGCTTCCTAAAGTGCTGGAATTTCAGGCTTGAACCACCACATCTGGCCTTTTTTAAAGTTTTTAATGTTAAAGTTGTGGGGTACAAGTCAGGGTTAGTTATACAAATGTTCAGTATGCAGGTACCCTTGTTGATGAGGTGTGACCCTCCCTCCCCTGGCATTTTCCCTCAACTGTCAATCCCACCCCTCCCAACTGGCAGTTTCCCACTACTGCCAATCCTTTTCTAATAGGATTATGATAATTGTTCAAGGTCTGTTTATGAGTGTGAACATATGATACTCTGTTTGTTGTTTCTATGTTAAGATCACTAAGTATGATAGACTCTAAATCCATCCAAGTTACTGCAAAGTCCATATGTTTCTCTTTCTTTGTGGCTGCATAATAGTCCATTGTGTATATGTACCACTTTTATTTTCCAGTCCAGTTTCAGTGGGACATGGATGTTGAATGGTAGGTAAGAGTTCTGTACTAGAGTTGGTACAGGAAGGAGAGGGATATTTCAACAGAGTAAATCACATAAGAGAAAGTGTGGAGATGGGATTTGTGTGTGTGTGTGTGTGTGTGTGTGCGCGTGTGTGTGTGCGTGTGTGTGTGCGCGCGCATGCGTGTGCATGTGCCTCACTAACAAAATCTAGAAGCATGGGGAACATGTAGAGAATAGTAACATTGATTGATACCAGATTTTATAAGACCTTGGATGACAAGCTAAGGGGTTGACACTTTATAGACAATGGTCATTGGGAATTTTGAAAGTTATTGGAGAAAAAATTGATGGCAAAAGTTGGAACAAAGAGAGTCAGGAGTTCAGAAAAGTAGTTAGGTGGTGATAAGTAATGCTGTGGACATCACAGAGGAAAAGTTTGCATAACCCGGAAGTACATTATGTCTAAAGAGTGCAGACATAAAGGTTAACAATACTTCTGGGCAGTAGTGGTGCCACCGTAAGAGAGTAGAGAAAACATTGTGGGGTAGTGGGGAGGGGGTGGGGGCATCCTGCAGTCAGGTAGATTGAAAGGTAGGGAATGTGAGAGTGATGGGTTTTGTTTGTACATTTAACAAGTTCCCTGAAAGGGAGTTAAAATGTTTTAACAGGCCGGGCTTGGTGCCTCAGCCTGTAATCCCAGCACTTTGGGAGGCCAAGGCACGTGGATTGCCTGAGCCCATGGGTTCGAGACCAGCCCGAGCAACTTGGTGAGACCTCGTCTTTACAATAAATCAAAAACTTAGCTGGGCATGGTAGCTCGCTCCTGTAGTTCTGGCTATTTGGAAGACTGAAGCGGAAGGTTCACCAGAGCCCAGCAGGTTGAGGCTATGGTGGCCAAGAGGCGTGCCACTGCCCTCCAGCTTGGGTGACAGAGTGAGACTCCAACTCAAAGAAAATAAAATAAAAGAAATAAAATGTTCTAACAAACTGTTAGATATTTGCAAAAGAGTGTTTGGTACCATAACTATAGACATAGGACAGTTGAAGAGAATGAAATCCATGAGGAACCCAGCAAAGACAAGAGCAGAAATTTAGATTTAGGAAGCCAGAGTTAGGTAAGAGAGGAACTAGGAAGGATTTCTTGGATTTTATTGAAGGACTGGTTATATGTGTAGGTTATACATGCTATATCATAGATGCTCTGGAAAGGGAGTTTTTTAAAAAAGGAAGTACTAACAGTGTCGAATAAGACGGACAGGAAAGGAAGGTGAGAACTGTGAAAAGGTTATGGGAATTAAGATTATTTGGTGGGGGCTGATGTTTGGCTGGGGTATACAGAAAAATGGAGGGGTGCGCCCCTTACGTAACATTCATTTTAATTAGCTAAGCTGCCTTATGGGTGTTTAGTTCACCATGATTTTTTTTCCTCTGTGGTTTACAGTTTTTCTTTCGTCTTTCTCTATTGCGTCTCTAAGCTTTGTGTGTCTATGGTCTTTATACCTTTCATATATCCAACTTCAGAATGTTCTAGATATAATAGTACCCAAGAGACTTCTTTTTAAACTTGAATCTGAATCTGTGAATCAGATCTGAATTCAAATCCAAGTAATTCCTCTAAGAGACTTCAACTAAGAAGTCTTAATCTAGAAACAATTGCTTTGGATGCCTTCTCCTGCCTCAGTAACAATACCTTCTGTTTCAATGTAATTTAAGACTGAAACCTGGCCCTGTTATTTATGTTTCAGTTTTGAGGGTGCAGGAAGTACCATATGGGGAGACTCTCTGATAGGTCTTCACCATCGCATATCAACAGCCTAGAAGGGTCTCTGGCAGTTGGAAATGCAAAATCCTTGTTCTGTGGGAAAACCTTTGTTTCTGAAGTTCCTTTGTTATTCAGTTGTAAGAACACAGCTAGAGCCATAATCAGTGGGCAGGTTCACTTCACTGCAGGACCTAACTGCCTTTTCTAATCTTTTCTAAAGGAGACTGACTCAGGAATAGCCCTATCATCTTTTTAGTCCTCAGTACTTCTAGGCTTTCCTTTCCCTCCAACTGTGTTTACAGTTGTGGGCAGAAACAGACTTTCAATTGAACACATGGTGGTGGACATTGTCACATGGACCTGGTGCACCAGTGGGAGGGAATTCATTGGAAGGACACTGCACACTGAGTTGGAGTCTTTAGCAGGGCATAAAGAGGCCCTTAGGACTATGCCAACGGTGATCAGAATTCATGAAGAGGACAGCATAGCATTGTGTCCAGTGTCAAGGAGGCCAGAAAGAAATGCAGTCCTAACCCTTTTTGAAAGTCTTTTGCCCTTTGTATTAATTTAATGTAGTTAATAAATTTAATTTTCATCTTGCCCTGATGGGTGGGTAGGTTCCATTCCCATTTTACAGATAAACTAGTTGAGGCTCAGCAAATGAAGGAAGTTGTAGGCCACACTGCAGACAAGTTGACAGAGCTAGAATTTGAACCTGTCTGCTTAATTCAGACTCTCTTTCTGGATAACAAATTTTCCTGAAGAGAGACTGGAGTAGAACCAGTTTACATGTAGATAGCTTTTTAAAGATTGTATATGAAAATGCAGAACCATATATTGCACTTCTCTCATTTCTATTCTTCTCTTCCCCACTTGGTTCTAGTCTGTGATTTGTTCATTTGGTTAACAGGCTACTTCCCATCCTAGGAGACAGACAGATCTTGTTTGTATCCAAGACAGGAAAAGTTTCGACATCTCTGGAAGAGCCTGTGTCTCTCTCTGCTGCATTCCTTCTATGGGGAGCGGGAGCGGGGGGCAGGGCAGGCAGAGCACAAGTGTGACTGTGAGGTGGGAGAGCACAGCTGTAGTCTGCCTCCAGTTGACACCACAGCACATGGTGTCACGGTTGCATTACTCAAGTGTGTCTGGCTCAAGCTGCTATGTGACTGGCATTTATCAGGACCATAGCTGGGGGAAAAATTCTATGTACTTTGTAGGAACGATTTTATAGCGCTTCATACTCCATTTGACACATGCTCTCATAAAAATACTACGAATCCAAGCCTGTTTGCATAGGACCATACTGCTGCTTCTTGTATTCATGCACCACTTCTGAGGAGTTTTGCCCTGACCTCACAGGTTTCCATCGTATGTGAGATTTTGGAACAAAGCTATATTTTTTTCTTGATTTTGATGTGTCTAAATTAAGTATAATGCATATTTTGTTCAACAAATAATGCTAAGTATAGAAAAAAGGACCACAGGGGTAATAGATCAGTGATAAATTTGGTGGTGATAGCTGATAGATTTTTACCTGAGAAAAACAAGAGACTCATGGACAATAACTAAGAATAGCCAATGTAAATTCTCCTTGCTTAGATATCTTTTTATGAGGCTTCTTCTTCTTCTTTTTATTTTAAAATGATGAAATGAAACTAACAGAAAGTATTTCCTTTTTTGTTATTTTGCAGAAAAAACCACTGTCTGCAATAATAAAGGAAGTCTGTGATGGGTAAGTGTTCCTTAGGATTCATCTAAGGTACCCCAGTCTTTAAGTTGACAGGCACAAGGAATATTTCCTGTGGCGTAGTAAAATATTATTCATAAGTCACCCCTTGAGCTACCCAAAGACACTAAGAAGTGCTGTGTAAGATTTGTATACCCTTTTCCACCCAACTCTACTGTTATTTCTCAAAGAGCAGAAAATATGAACTAGCTGATATGTGCACAGCGGGGTTGATTTTACTTATTTTGGGAAGTTGTGTTCCTTTTGTCTTACCCCGCAGGGAGCAGTTTAAAGGTTCCTGAGGTTAAAACACACACTTCATCTGGCATAAACTGAGAGGACCACTCAGGTTCCCAATAGAAGATGAAAGGATTTAAATGATAACTCAGTGGGTAGTTAGTTGTGCTGCTGCATGGAATTTCACACTGATGTGGCTTTCCTGATTCTCTTTGGCTAATCTAAACAACACAAAGGAAATGCATATGTGGTCGTTTCAGGAGAATATTTGACTTTTAAAGCCAAATTGTGAGGACAGTATTACCTGGAATTTATATAAGGCCTGGAATACCTAATTGAAGTGTTCCAGTCTGCATCAGCTATATTGTCTGGGGACTACAGAATACAGAGAAAATAAAAATGTGCCAGTTATCAAAAATTTAAATTGCATTCATTTCCTTTGTTTTCCTCTCTCTGCTTCAATCCTTCAAAATAAAGAGGAATGTAAAGATTTATATTTTAATCCCCACCTGAATACTTAAAGGTGAGTAAGGTCTGGGCAGTGCATATATGAAATGATTGGTTTCACAGTAATGAAAGGTAGGCTAACTTCATTTTGTTTTTAGGAACTGCATTGTAGTGTATGTTGGGACTGGTCCAATTCCAATCACACTATGCTTAATTCATCCTACCCTATACAACCATAAAAATGAAAATGATCACTTTTGTTTTGCTAATCAGTTTCTGCTTGTATTTTTAAGGTGGTCTCTGGCCAACCATGAATATTTTGCACTGCAGCATGCTGATAGTTCAAACTTCTATATCACTGAAAAGGTAAGTCAACCACATTATTTAATCTGGGACACTTATATTGAGGGAAAGCAAAGCATGACTGATGTTTCCTCTGTTCAGAGCTAGACATGCTGATCTAAATTTTACGTCTCTACCATCCATGAAAACAGAGTCTGTAAAGCAAATGCCTGCTACTTTAGTATCCACAGGATGACATTTAGCCCATTCAAGAGTAAAGACCAAATATGTTTCTGGGTCCTGTTTAACAACTGCATTTGCCTTCTTTCTTTCTTTCTTTCTTTTTTGAGTTGGAGTCTCACTCTATCGCCCAGACTGGAGTGCAGTAGCCGCTCCCAGCCACCGCAGCCTCGACTGCTGGGCTCCAACAATCCCTCCGCCTCAGCCTTCCAGGTAGAAGGAATTACAGGCATGTGCTACCACGCCCGGCTGATTTTTTTTTTATTATTATTTATTGTAGAGATGCGGTCTCGCTGCCCAGGTGGGTCTCGAACCCGCGGGCTCAAGCAATCCACTCACCTCAACCTCCCAAAGGCATGGGATTACAGGCTGAGCCACCGAACTCGGTTTGCATTTGCCTTCTAACAGTGAACCTGTTAATTGCGCCTTTTTCTTTTTGCTTGGTTAAAGAATATATTTGATACTTTATGACTTAGTTGAGCTTAGTAAACTTAGAAGAGAAGGAGAGATTTCTGAACAGCACAATGGACCTAGGAGCAAGTAAAATTAATGTCTATGAGATCCCTGATAGAGGAAGGGAAAACTAGCATTTATTGAGTACCTACTCTATTCCAGGAACTAAGCCATGCACATCACACCTGTGTGTTGATTTTTTTTCCTCAAGACTAACCTGGGGTGTAAAAATATTGGCGTTGACTAACAGATAAGATGAATCATGGAGGACAGATGGTTAGACTAAGGCCTCATACTTGAATCTACAAGAAGCAAGTTTAGATCCTTGTGCTTCTATGATGTTGTCTTTTGGAAATTTCCAGGATAGTTTAGCATTTATCACAACTTTAGGGAGAGCTCACTGAATTGTATATAGCTGGTATTGTCTTCATGAAATGGATTATCTTGTGGCTTCGGTTGGGAGGAAAATAACAGCCCCGTAAACAGCTGCCATTAGAACAAAGTGGTCAGAAGTGAGCACAAAGAGCTCTCGAAGGAGGGAGAGTCCAGTGACCTCAGGCTCCAATGTCCTGCAGACTTCGTTTGCCCCAATCAGTAGTCCCTAGAGTGATTGTAATTTTATCCTGAATCAAGTGGTGATGGAAGGTGGAGGCAGTAAAAAGGGTCCTCTTCCCCCAGTGTTTGCCTCCCTGTACCCTGAAGTGTGTGGTGGGAGGGCCTTCAGATCAGCAGGAGGGAGGCTGGCCAGAGGTTTGGAAATACTTTTCAGAAATTCCTTTGTTTTTCCCAGATGGACACTGGGAATTTTATAACGGATCATTTTTCCTCTTGACAAATGATTGCTAGAAAGCTGAAAGTTAACAAGTGGACTAACTTCCCTTGTGTGCATTGTATTTATTACATTTACCTTTGATTTATTTGATTCATTCCATTAACATTTAGTTTCTTGTCTTTATTTTTCCTTTGCTTCATTTTCTTTTTTTCTCTGTTCGAGTTGGATTCTCCCTCCGTTGCTCAGGCTGGGGTGCAGTGGCACGCTCACGGCCACCCCAGCATCCACCTGCTGGGCTTGGGCTATCCTTCTACTTCAGTCTTCCAAGTTGCCAGAACTACAGGCATGCACTACTGCACCCGGCTAATTTTTGATGTGTTGTAGAGACGAGGTCTTGCCAAGTTGCAGGGGCTGGTCTAGAACCCGCAAGTTCAGGCAATTCGCTCACCTTGGCCTCCCAAATTGCTGGGATTACAAGCTAAGCCACCGAGCCCAGCCCATTTTCTTAACATTTTTTATTTATTTTCTACTCTATCTATATAATTTGCATGCTATTTTTTGTGAGATAAAGAGGATATAAATAAATGAAAGTTAAATGGTAACAGCTAAATGTATCATCCTGGTTTCATTCATAAACAGTTAGTAGGTAGTGAAATCAATTCATTTAATTCCCAGCACATTAAAAATTGGGACATTGTAGAGTGGATTATGTCAGAGTATATCTACCACCCGTGTTGCTTATGAAATGTTTCTTTCACATACTCACATATGTAAATTGCACTGGAGTTTTACCCTGGATTGTGGTTAAAAAGATGTTGAGTCATAAATAAATAGTCCTGGCTCTGAATAATCTAGACTGGTAGGTGTCCCCCCAGTGGTTGTCCTGTCTTCTGTCACAATTGTCTGGAGACCTTAGTGTACTGGAGATTACTAAGGAGGGGGTTCTCAGACTTTAGAGAACATAAACATCACACAGAGAAACTTACAAATGTAGAGTGTTAGATCCCAAACCCAGAGGCTCAGAGTGAGTGTGACTTATTAGATATGGCCTAGGAGTTTTTTTTTTTCTTTCTTTCTTTTTCTTCTTTTTTTTGAGTTGGAGTCTCACTCTGTCGCCCAGACTGGAGTGCAGTGGCATGCTCCCAGCCACCGCAGCCTCGACCTGCTGGGCTCTGGCGATCCTTCGGCCTCAGCCTTCCAAGTAGCAGGAACTACAGGTGCGCGCTACCAGGCCTGGCTAATTTTTGATTTATTGTAGAGATGAGGTCTCGCCAAGTTGCCCATGCGGGTCTCGAACCTGCGGGCTCAGGCAATCCACTCTCCTTGGCCTCCCAAAGTACTGGGATTACAGGCTGAGCCACTGAGCCCCGCCTTTTTTTTCATTTTTAAGGAGCCCTCGGGCTCGGTGGCTCAGCCTGTAATCCCGTGCTTTGGGAGGCTGAAGTGAGTGGATTGCCTGAGCCTGTGGGTTCGAGACCCGCCTGGGCAACTTG